AGCCCATAGGGTCAGGTTGAATTTTCTATATGGACGGTATAACACTTCAATTTGCTTGCAACATTACGTAGTAAACAAAATATATAACGACACAGGTCTCTATATCCTAGCCGTTAGCTTACGTACTGCCAGCTTTGGTAACAAGATTCAACTTAAATCTCTCATTAGATAGAAGTCTTGAATTCGAATCCTGAGGAACGCAATAGAAAGCCATGAGAGGGTAATTGAACATAGGCCAATCCAAAGCAAACAATAGAGACACGGGTCGTTACAAAATCCACCCCCATTAAACTTAGTTCAATGAAGAGATCTCCATGCTGCATCACCTATATCATGAGTTTTCAATTCTATGCTGGGGCAAAGCCAGGAATTCACTTTTGGGGGCTGAATTTTTAAAAAGTCCTTGTGTGAATAAAATTCATATATAACCGAAAAAAGTCGTTACATGGAATTACTATTAAAATGTATCAAGTCTCAAGTACCTATGTGACAGCTGAAAAGGTCAAAATTGACAAACCTTTTCTTTTTCTTGTAAAAATCTCAATGTACTTGCATCTTCTCTACCTACTCATCCAACCCAACGTTTTCTGACCCATAAAGTCTAAAATTGACTATTAATATTTTAAAAAAAAAAAAAACTTTATAATTAGGGCAAAGACCTTTCAACAAATTTGCATGTAATTTTGCAAAGTTCTCTTCATTTTCAATTAATAAAAATTGATATAACCTCTTCCAAAAAAATTACCCATCAAGTTGCTACCCATAAAGTTTATAAACTAATTTATATTCATCCATGACCAATTATTCCAATAATCATTATCAGATCATATAATCTTAACCTTAAGACTCTCAACATGAGCAAATAAACTGCAAAAACAAGGGTGACATATTTGGGCAGATGAAATTAGAAATTAAATTTAGGTTGAATTTTGGGTGGTTGAAATTAGAAACTGAATTTTTTACATTGGGCTGACAAGGTAGGGGTATCACAATATAGGCTTAAATGTGCAATTGGGCATTAGGCTAGGGCATGAAATTAAATTTAGGTTGAATTTGGGCGGTTGAAATCAGAAACTCAATTTATTACATTGGGCTGACAGGGTAGGGGTATCACGATATAGGCTTAAATGTGCAACTGGGCATTAGGCTAGAGCATGAGGAGACTAATTTAAAGTTGAGCTGCGCTATAGTTGATTTGGTGTGGACTATATGATATAAAATAAGTTTTTCACATAAAGAATTTTGTATCTAGGCTTGGGCAAGAGCCAGGCCTTCCCCCCAATCCGCCCCTTATCCCATGTATTCTTATGTATCTTATCAACATGGTTTCTACGAACCTACTCCACAATTGCCCAAAAACAAACAAGGAGAATAGAACATTTACCATCATTATATGCTTTTGTTTCACTTTAATAGAAGTGGATGAAAGTTCTCGACGTAATTTTTCATGTAATCTTTAAACCCAAACAAACTGATGTAACTGTTGTGGTGACAGTAAAGTAGAAATGGTATATTAAATAACAATAAAATAAGTGGAAGCATGGTCAAAACAAAAAATCCAATTTCAGTCTCAAAAGAGAAAGAATGTCCTACGGTGTTCTCAAAGTTCAAAATCTCAAATAGAGAAGAATATGCCCTACAGACTACATTGTCTTCTCAGGTCCCATTGTGATGCAAACATAAATACACAACTGGAAATCCTCCAACACGATTAAACTACCAAAAACCCATTCAGTGTGAAGAGACCAAAAACTAACCTCCATGGTTGAGAAGCCACGTCGTCGTAGACCTTCTAGATTTAATCCACGCAGCTCAGCTCGTTCTCCAGAAACCATTGTGTACTTTGGAACGTCTTGAGAAACCTTCGGAATAAAAGAGAAATAAAAGTTTCAACATGAATGGGACTTGAGTGATTTACAAATAACCTAGCTATATACTATCGTTTGCAAACCTACCAATAAAACAAATTGCATTAGATAAAAAATAACACACTGGATATTAAATCTACATTACATTTTGTACTCTTCTTGCCATGCATGCATATAATTCCTAACAACACGACACTTACAAGTGAGAGGCAAATCCATAATACC